TATCATGCAATCGCTGTCCATTGAGCAGTGAACCGCAGTTACATAAAAGATCTAACTCTCTTCTTAGCACAATTTATACTGTATATGTATCTGCCTCTTAGGCTAATTCTCCTAATTCTGTGATTGTATTCAAGTCGAATAATGGAACTGCACTTGGTTCTTCAAAGTTGACCGATTGCACAATACCTTTAAGTACATTTAGATCTAATTCGGTCTCCATAGATAATTAATTTCAATCCTATAGGAGAATGAACGACCTCTGTACGATACCGTTAGGGATATTGATCGCGACTTTAAATACGGTGGACCAGGATCACCGTATTTAACGTTTATGCCTCGTGGCAAGGTGCGGGCAAATTCAGCGTCATTCAGCAGAGGAGCGCTTGCTTGCGTTCCAATTTTGTACGTTGCATGCAACGGCACGCGATTTTATCAAAGTCTGGTAATTAGAACAGTTGTTAGGCGCACCGGTCTTATAGTAAATGACATTTAAATATTCTTAAATGTTAAATAACATGGTTGAAAGTTTCAAACTTGCAACCATGGTACAAGTTGCCAACAAACAAAAGAACGAGTTGCAAACGATATATAAAGGACTTTCTGGTTGGCTAGTCCTTTGGGAACGTTTGCTAACTATTCAAAGACGCGCCATCACGGCAGGGTAAAAACGAATATTCCATGATGTACGGTTTCTAGAAAGAAAATTACAAGAAAATACATAAGACAAATATACAAAGAATGATTCATGATATATACAAGAAATGCCAATGCATGAAACAAGACAAATCAATAAATATGAAACGGTATAGTCAATAATTCAAGTAATGAACAAATATAACTGACCAAATAGCTTGCGTTCCTCGGGTACTATACAGGCATCTAGGGCCTAACACTGAATGCTCTGGTGCATCAGAAATAAACTACGTCTAGTACACTAATTCTACATCTGAAAATTCCAGATAAATGGAAAATGGCGGCTACACGATACGTCGCATGAAAACATGATTTTTTGTCACAATTCGCCACATATAAGTAACGTAAAATGGAACAGATAATAAACGAATTTGCAGATAAACGGTTTGTTAAAATAAAATACAGGCAATCTGTGCAAAATTTATGAGATTTTGTGCGAAATGAACAGACAAATTTATGTCTTAGCTCCAGCCATGCAAAAACCGAGGCTCTGAATCTAACACAATATGAACTGCAGACACCATCAATAGAATGCTACACTGCAGACACCATCAATCAAACGCTACACTGCAGAACCATCAATAGAATGCTACACTGCAGACACCATCAATCAAACGCTACACTGCAGAACCATCAATAGAATGCTACACTACAGACACCATCAATCAAACGCTACACTGCAGAACCATCAATAGAATGCTACACTGCAGACACCATCAATCAAACGCTACACTGCAGAACCATCAATAGAATGCTACACTGCAGACACCATCAATCAAACGCTACACTGCAGAACCATCAATAGAATGCTACACTNATATCGTTCTCACGAATAACTTACATTACATTATTAAAATAAACCTCCTCGCTTTATTAGAAATTAGCATTGCAGCGTTTTTATAAATTGATTTCTGGAATTCTAGGAAGACTTTTTATGATCCAAATGCTTACAGGTGGGATAAATATGGTACCGTACTCGAGATAGCTAACTATTGCTAATATTAATAGTCAACTAATTTATTGTACTGAAAATACTATTGAGCGATAAACTATTTTAATGAAATGATTTAATGGAATTTGATACTCGAGATATTCAAGTAATGATAATATTAATAGGCAATCAATTGATCCATTATTAAAAACTCCTCAAGATCAAAGCAATTAACCTGTCTCTTATACACATCTAGATGTGTATAAGAGACAGACACACTACACTCGAGGCACCACTAAACACACTACACTCAAGGCACCACTAAACACACTACACTCAAGGCACCATTAAACACACTACACTCAAGGCACCACCACAAAGCACCTGCACTGTAGGCGAGGCCTGCGCCCTGATGCCAGTTCGACTTATTAGGCGAGGCGTCCACTCTAAGCGCGCTTCATGATCTCGCCATAAGAAGATGCCGACGATTGATATCACTCATCATTTAGGATGTTTGCTATGAGACGAGCAGCCGTCCGATCATCCCTTCTTGGATAAGCAAAGCCGATCTTCTCCCCGGCTCTCAGTCTGCTATCTTTACCCTCGTTGACCTATCCGCGGTCCAGCTCCAGATTATGTGCCTTCTCGCTCTTCACGGCGGCCATGGAGGCTTGTGATGCCACAGCGATTAGGTTGGATCACCACTAATAATTATCAGCGGCTGATAATCAAAACCTTGCTAGTGAAAGGCTCATTTGTGTTACATAAGAATTAAGAATTCGATGCATAATTTTATTTTTATTTTCACTTTGTTCTAAGACTTGAAGTGGTGTAAGTTTTATCAAATACGACACAACTCACGAGACACTCTCGCCTGATTGCAGGCGTATGCTGTGGAGTTACTTGCATGCCTCTAACATAAATTAACTAAACGTTAAAGATTTAAATATGTTTGAAAAACGTTCAAAGGAGTCTAGGCTTCCATTAATCTTTCCCCTATCACACGTGAATTGAATGGGAGGCGATTATTCGGCGATAATCGACGAACTCATTGATTGTCAGCAGCTCTTATTTTAATGAGAGTTCTTACAAGCTCGGTTCATTTGAATGCAATTTTTAAACATTGCCATGAATGCCATTAGGCCAATCCAGCTGCCGCTTGCGTAATTCTTAAAATTAGCATTGTCAGGTTTATTATGAAATCCGTTCAGTTTATTTGTTTGGTGCTTCATTTCTTCAGCTGGAACTCTACTTTACCCCGACAGTTACATCACTTACCAGCAGGAATTAAACTTGGCGCCGACACAGAGCACACTTTTCACTGGCAGTTACTTAAGTCAATTTTGTTTCACCGATAATGGGCTAAGCTTCAGATCTGGAGCTAAAATTTACAGAATCAAAATGTTTTAGCATCATTTGTAATTGTTATTAAAAAGAATTTACACGATGAAATTAGAAAAGTTTTAAGGCATATTTAGATATAAATAGAGAACACTACTTTCGAGTTCGTTAATTAGTAAAGACGAAGAATATTCACTGCTCCTCTCACTCACAACCACAAAGCGTGTGCACCAGATGCAATGCATGTTACGGTATACGAATCGGGCCATACACACCGCAAGCTCAATGATCTTGATAATTGTATAGTGGAAGTCCAGACTTTAGGCAATTTGAAAAATGTTGTTCAGCGAGCATCAAACTGCGCAGGGTAAACTCATAACAATATGCGTTTAAAAAGTACTTTTCAAAGACCACACTTCTAAAGAGGCCGGTATCTCCGATGTTAAACCTCAACAATGAATTTTTTATTTCATTTTTTAAATATTTAAAACAATTTGCTTCAATTATTTAAATTAATTTCTTTATTCTGTCAATTGGTTCATGCATTGCCTCCGACTTTAGGCAAGTGTGCAAATTTTCCGATCGATTGGACAGGTAACAAACAAGACATGAAGTTAAAGTAGACCAATTAAATGCTGACACACTATCACACGCCTCTTGCCTAAAAAACTGGGTCAGGGAGATCTGCACAATTAAGGGTAAAAAATTGCATCGCGATTCAAACAAAGTCTCACTAATTTTTCTGAGTGTAATCAAGAGGTGTGCCAGCTGTCAATAATAAACTCTTCTATAATAGCAGTTATCACCGTTAGAAACTACACCGCTCAATTCTTCAGATTTGCTGAGGGTAGAAGGCAGCTTGAGGACGACTGGTCAAGGATATAACTGAATGGTGATGAGTACATATAAGGTAAACTTAAGATATAATGCAACGTTGAAACAAGATTGTTTTCCTTATACCTGACGATGATGTAGAAAAGCATGGACAGATTTATCGGCATCTTTCGTTATGATCATCAAATCTGACCTTATTCCTCACATCAACATTAACAACACTTACCAACCTGCCATCGATCGACTCGATGTCTCTAGAACCTAAATCAATTGATCGTTCTGAAAATGAAAGCCGAAAGTAAGAAATTTGGACTTGCGATTACTTCACTCAGGAGGAGCTGGTTGTATCGTGAAGCATCAGGTTGCCGTGGCGTGGAACAAACTATTGATACAGACAAGGGCACATACTTTCAAAAAAAGTTAAGAGATCGTATTATAAGTTCATCCGCCAATCATTGACGGCCTTTCAAGCCAAATCCGCCAATCAAAGACAAGAAAATAGAGCGTACGTACTTACGTAGTATGGCCCAATGTCATCTATGTGCAAGTTTTGACTTTCGTACCACGGCGACCACAAAATATTTTGATTAGCCAATGAATTGCACCTTATAATAAATATCGGTAAGACCCGTAATAATTATTACACATAAGGATTATACAACCGGCAATTCTAATAGCAATCATTCGATTGAGCAATGAAGGTGTATTTGCGAGATAAAATTTTCCCGTTGATACGCCCAAAAAAAGGTCCTGTCAATGTAAATCCATATCGGTCCGTTCTGATAGCTGCAAGCAATGCATGGTGGTAGCTAGAAGCTAAGTCTTCACTGAAACAGTTGATACCATTGCAGTAGAACAACTTTTTATGATAAGGCAACAATTCTGCTCCTGAAACACATCTCTTTCATTTTTTCCCTCTGGCCCATTCGCACGATTTGCTCCTACCCAGTCAGCCTAACGCAACCCACTTTTTGAGAATAAATCCCTTGAAAGCAATCAAACTTATTGATTAATGAGCAATCAATGTTATGTAAAATGCGCAAGAAAAATCGCTTTAATAATTTTGAAAAATTAGTTCGATAGAAGTGACTATTTTAATACGTTAGTCACCCTGCCTTACCTAAAATTTCACTTACATCACTTGACCTCCAGCCGTACCACCACATAACTACCCCAACATACCTCGTAACTCCATCACCAGACCGTCACCCCACCAGAGTTCCACCACCAGACCGCCACCCCACCAGAGCTCCACCACCAGACCGCCACCCCACCAGAGAACCATTGCTCCACCACCAGACCGTCACCCCACCAGCCCTCCACCACCAGACCGTCACCCCACCATTGCTCCACCACCAGGCCGTCACCCCACCAGCCCTCCACCACCAGCCATCCACCACCAGCCCTCCACCACAAGCCCTCCACCACCAGCCCTCCACCACCAGCCCTCCACCACCAGACCGTCACCCCACCATTGCTCCACCACGAGACCGTCACCCCACCAGTTTGTGGTGCGCTGTCCAGACTCGCGGCCGTGGCAGCTACCAAAGCCAGGACCGACGAAGCGATCCATCGCTCGGATGTACCTCCCTGGGCGCCCAATTAGCTGGCATTGAGAGCAAGCGCCTCGCCGGTCGCGTTAGTAAACCAACAGAGCGACGGAGTGGCCTCTGATTTCACGGTGGAGACGAGCAACAGAAAAAGAACATCGCTCACATCGCCATCTGCATGTCCCCCACGATCTGCTGGCCATAATCGCTGCTTATTTCTATGCGTAGAGTTATCGTCTTCTACGTTAGTGAGCTTTACGGTCCCGCTGCCGACTCGTTGCTCATCTAATTGCAATAGTTACCCCAAAATTAACAGAGATCAGTGTTGTATACGAGCTTGTGAAGTGCCGTCTCAGATCAAAATCCGGTCGTTTCATAGAGATAAATTTTGCATATGTTATTAGCATGACAATTATCCTTCGTTAACAAATTTATAGCAAATATTCACAAGGATTAACTCAGGATTCTAGCCGCCGAATTACTGACTCATCTTGACGAATTAACCGTAAAATTATCTCAGAGCATACATTTAGATATAATGAATATTCTCTGGAGAGGTTAACATAATGCGGCACGGAGCTTTCATCTGGTTCTTTATTTACCGGCAGTGAGAGTCTTGATGAAATATTATACGATACAAATTTCCTGTCAAGCGAAGAAATGAATATCGGGCATGTACAGGATTTTCCTCATGTATATTATGCGCGGAGATTAAGCGCTTGCTAAGCTCAAGGAAATAAGTCGACCATGTTGACATTATGCGCACGGATCCAGCGCATAACTTGGCCGCTCTGACATAATGGGCTTAATTTGAGTCTCTTGAGTCCGGGCCTTTCATGTGCGACGGATAATGGGTGAAGGGGAGGAGGGGGCACATGAATATGGGGGAAGCAACAAGAAAAGGGGAAGGGGGGAAAGGTAAGGAATTGACGGGAGAAGTGTTATACGGTTTGCAGAGCGTGGGGAGAAGGGCTTTAGAAGCATGAAGGTGTGTATGATAGGCTCGAAATTTATAACCTGTATTTGAAAAGCTGGAGATAACAGGTTGAAGTCTACGGTATTTATGGTGGATGATAGAAATACTTATACGATCATTCGAATTGTTAAGAAGCTGATCTCTGGACCAAACTTGAGTTCTCTGTGTGGGTGAGATGACGCAATTAATATGCATAACTGCTGTTTATTTTCAGCTGAAAAGTAGAAGGTGTACTTAATCTAGGGCGTTCAATTTGGCACCTTTATTTTATTTATTTTATTTCGCACCTTCAATTTGGCACTTTTGCAACTTCCACACTCAATAACAGACAATAAAATTAAAATAACAGCTCTTGGTGCGACATTGAGTAACATTTTTCTACATTAGACTATGGCAATAATGTACATCGCAACACTTATTATCGGTAGCATCTTAAACCCGTCGGGTAAATCCGTCAAAACAGCTAGGTTAAACTGACGGGATACGATTTGTGATCATTAAAGGGTTAATTCGGCGAGGAAGGTTAACTTAACCCGACGTTGGGAGATAATGTACTAAGAATCGCCCGGTCGTGAACACAACACGCTCCTCCAATCGAATGCAATGTTAGTTAGTTATTAAATGTCCGCCTGGCGTCAACTGATCGCGTTTCTTGCTTTCATAATAGTTTATAGAATGAAGTCATGTAAAACCCAAATCCCAATAGAACAAAGAGTTTTATTAAAGTGAACAATTGGTTTTTAAGGTCCCTTCCCTTGCATTAGCGACGATCGCAGGCATATACGTAGATGGTAGCATTAATATTGTTCAATGCTCGATATATAATTGAAATAATAGCGTTTATATATGCTATCTGGAATAGTGGTAATATTAATAAGACTTAATATTCCGATAATATTATAATAATAACAATAATATAATATTCCGATTATGAAAATAATAATATAATATTGCGATAAAAGCATCCATCATATCAAATTCTGATAGCCTAGCAATTGGTCAGGACGGCAGTTTTTGTGTTGGTGTATTTAATTGTTTGCTTGCGGCATTCTTTGGTATCGTATTATTCCAGCTGCTCGATAAAGGAGCAGGATTTGCCCGGAACTCAACATGGATCGCACTACACAACGCTGATGTAACAAGTTTCGTTCTTGTATCACTTGGTATGTATCGTACTTGATACAAGGAGTGCGGCAAGCAAGTAGCCTGATTACCTTATCCGTTATAGGCTAAAATTTGGTTGTTATCATATATGATACATGGCGCATTTAAGGGTTAATCCCAGTGTAAGGCACATAAACAAGAGACCAGTGTTCACCAATACTGGTTAAAATTACATTGCGTATATAAGGAAGAACACATAAATACGCAGCAATCGGCAGCAGTAGCCATGCAGCAATGTAAAAATAGTTATATAGATTTTCCAACAAGTTCCAAACATTTATTATAATATTTTTACACATATCTCACCTCAAATATTTGAATAATGATAATGTTCATTGTATCAACGTCATATGTTTTCAAAATGTCGAATAAAGGCGCTCAAATATTCTCTGTAATGGCCATTATATGAGAAACGGAATTAACTTTGAAGTTGATCACTGTATTTATGAGACAGGTGTAAATGAATCAAGTAGAAAGCTATGTAAAAATTATATCAGGTTGAAAATTTACAAATTTTCAACAAGTAAGGTGAAGAGATATTTTCTAACATAGCCACGGCATGCGTAAAGGCTATGTGTACACCGCGAAGAATTTCACCTCCCCTCTGGTCGGGGAAGAAGAATTTTACCTCCCCTCTGGTCGGGGACTGACTATCATGAAGACACCATTAGGGGAGAGTAACGAGAAGTGGGGATGACAGGGAGAGAAAATCATCACAACACAGGGCGTTGGGGAAGTGTACACGTATGAGGAAGCTTAAGAAAGCTGGGGAAGCATCTGTCAACAACCTCTTTACGGTCATTAGCATTTAGGTGCGCTAGAGACACCAGCGGGGAACGAGTATACAGAACCAGGGCCTCTCAAGTGGGGCTTTTTCTTCTTCCTAAACATTTACATTGAGTGAAAGTGGAATGAAGTAAGTCGATGTAAGTGAATATTTATACTTGAGCAGGAGAGATAGGCAAACATTTTCATTAAGCGTTAGCGCAATCGCCATGTTGCATTAGCAAGACTTGTGTTTTAGTCTGCTATATCGCCGCTCTTGTAGTAATGCACAAAACTTAAGTTATAAAATAATAAAATTTCAAGACTTATTTTCGGTTAATCAATCATTATTTTTCGGTCAATTATTATTTTTCTTTGATTGATTAAACACGTTAAATTCTTTATGCCCATTGCAGTCTGCCATTATTTTTCTAATTGCAAATATAATTTTGGTTTCAGTTCAGTTGACAAAGCAATGAACGCATTTGTAACATAGAATCAACTTGCATCATAACTTCAAAGGGAATGCATAAATTTATTAATAAAATTAAGTCATTAAATAATTCCGCAGACGCAGATTGAGACGGATTCCCATCAACTGTTTACATTGATGGACTTTTTCTTGGTTTCATTTGTAGGAAATTGTCAAGAGAAGTCAAAACAAGAGCAATATGATAATTTTCAAGCATATTTTAAGGCAGAGCAAGTCAATGCGGTCTTCACTATATTACGCTTCTTCATCTAAAGTTTTCGTTTAATTTTTTTCGTTTTAAGTTGATAACAAGTAGTAAAAACTGTTGTTCAATTATACTTTTTCAAGCGTCCCCATTTACGAATCTGGTTGAAGTAGTTTTCTGTTTATTTTTAACACACCACAGTTATGATGAACATCCATGTCTGGAAGAATTACCAATAAAAGACTTCTTACTGAAGTATAATAGATTTTATTCACTCATACATAATGCGCGGAAACATCTATACTTGGTACGAAATAACAACAGCGAATGTTATTTTCCGCGCGTAGCCAGGCATGATTACACCCTTTGTGCTGTTATCCTAAGTGACACGTCGTCACCATTCATGCCGTCCTCTGTACCCTCACACCAGTCATCGCACCTCCCCTCACTACCTGTCTCGTTTCTCTAGCTCCCCGCATTTTCCCCTTCGCTGTTTAGTTTTCATTTTTGCTTTTCAATGTCCCCTTGTAGACTTCCCTTCCCTCGTTGGCTTTGAGGGAGCGTCACGGCCCGTTAGCGACAGGACCCCGATGTGTTGTCACTGTTGTCGCCAGCGGTTCATGGTTGTTGTCTGGTGTGGTATATATTGCTATTGCTTTGGTTGGTAGATATTGCTATTAGGACACGTTTTTCGATATTATTGCCGACTTTCTACACAGTAATAAAGCTAGAAACTATCTACAGAATGTTCGACACTGGCGAGCTAATTGTACAGATCAATGAAGGTGCCATTATACATGTATAACAAAAATTAATTACATTGCCACAGTTGCAGGATACCAGATGAATGTTATATATTATGAATATTGAGATTTTGGAAGTTCACTGCTTGAGTAAGCTGTAACAGAAATTTGGTTTGCATTAATCCATTGTAGCATCTAATTGGAATATTTGTATGAATATTCTGGACTTCTTAAGAGCGAGAAAGAACAAGAAAATTAACCATTGTACCAAGTCTATATAGTTAACCAGTATATAGGATACTACTTAACCCAGCAGCGTGCGTAGTTATGCTAATTTGCTCTGGGCTTCGTTGCAAAGTTTTGTGTAATGGACGTAGGCACCTGCAGAGGTATAAGGTTCAGATAGGGTTTTGCTGTGTTGTACTGTATTTTTTCTGTATGTTCTGCTGGAATACGATTCGCGACAGTTATAAACATGCGAATTTAGCGTGAGAATAGGAGCGTACTTGAATTAGTTCTTTCTTTCTAGGGATCTTATCTTGTTGAAGCCCAGTACCTATATCAGCCGCTCCTGTGCTCAGTTAGTCTTGTGATCGCATCAATCAAATTCAATTTTCTCATCTTCTTTGCTAGTATTTATTTCCAGTTCTGTTGTTCGTCCGTTCCTTAATAAAATTGTTTGTGAAAGCCATTTATTATATAGGTACCTCGGCACGAAAGATCATCACACCCATCAATTTACTTGCGACATCTTTTGGTGGCATTCATGCGAACAAACGAACAGGTAATAAATTATTAG